ATTACATCCTTCCTTTTCTTCGTAAGGGTACCCAAGGATGTTTGTGTGGTGAGCTTTTGGATATGCAGTTGACATTTTGCCGTGACACCCAGCCAAAGCTTGCGATGAACTGGTAAATGTATGAAAGACACTAGCTTCTAACAAAGTAACCGTTGGTCTTTTTCCAAGTAAAATCGCTAACCATTCGCGCTGTTCCCAGGGCCAAGACGTCTATCGTTTACTATTCGCATGTCAACGAATCAGCTAGCTACCATAGCTTTAATGAGCCAAATCAGGCAGCATTTCCAGTGAGAGATTCCTTACACTGAAGGATCTCTAGCCGATTGCTATTTGCACCTCGAGCACATCTAGTCCCATGGACGAGCATGAGAAGTTACTACTGGGTAGGTCGGAAATAGCAGGCGAAGAAACTACCCCTGAAACACCCCTGAAACTGCAGGAACCCTAGCAGGGCAGCATTAGATAGGACGGTTTTAGAAGGTTTAGGCAATCTCATGGCCATAAAAGGATGCCTAAACGAAAAATGAAAAAACTTTAATGGTGATATACGCTCTCAAGCTTATGTATTGAAAGCGTATGGTGGAGAAATGGCGATGCAATGCAAGATGATCAAGGGCAAGTCACCGAGTTGGAAGCGACGGCATTGCCCTTCACACTGCATTTTCGAGGTTGATATACTGAAAGCTTCAGTATTAACATTGCACGATGCTTTGTTCAGTACTCTATACTCTGGAATGGAATCTTCTCAGCTTGATTATTAGTACACCGTATTTTTTCATATTGAAAACTCATTATCTGACGCACGATACTTTGGAAAGCTCGCTGGCAGCCGCATATAAGCATAGCTATGAGCCTATTGATGATTCATTCTAGCCTCTTTCTCATCCTTTGTATACATCTCTATAGATGTATTGTTTATAAGCTCATCACATAGCACCAGGACATCTCTAACCCCTACTAGTAATCACTATGAGTGATCCTTGGTACAATGTTGTATGCACTACACCACTATGCACTACTTACTATAAGGAAAGATCAAGGTAGAACTCTCTCTCGGCTTTGGAGAAAGAATTTTCCCATTGGAGAAAGAATTCCTGTCAGTTTTTTATCTTCTTAATGGGTTGCGCTGTAGGAGTTGGAGAGACTGAAGGTTCAACAAACCAAGTTTGAAGTCGAAAGTGTATCGAAGTTCCGCGAGGCAGAACTGACAGCAGCGATTAGATTCATAAAGATACGTCGACTTCCGTGTGCATCGACCATTCATTAGCATCAGGGAACGATTGTTGGAGATATTTCCACACGACAAGTTCTGCACGACTCTACCATTCTCTTCGTTTTCGATTAGGTCGTCATTGCTTTGCTGAACCTTGTGAACCATGTTTTATTGAGGGCGCTGTTCTTCCTCATTTCTCCAACCCTGCTAGTTTTTCTGTAAGATAAGTAATGTGATATGGTTTCTTCACTAAGAACAGGAAAATCTTCATTTACAAGGCTAATCAGCTCTTTCGGGGAGTGGCTAAGAGATAGTGAAAGCTTACCTACGCACCCGACGTTAACAGAAATGCCAAAGCGAGTCAAGGATATACGGGTTAGATTGAAAAAATACAATGAAGGTATAATGACTATGGAAACTTCACTTGACAAAGTGGGAAACTCTTCGAACATCTTGAGAAACACATGGTCGAAGATGAAGGAAAATTAATAACTATGTGCATTCAGCGAGCAATATGGTTATCAAGCTGAACATATACAAGATAAAAAAATATTACGGATCGTAAAGGACTATATTTACCCTAGCGGTAGAGGCATAGTGGAAGACAACTTAGGCACAGTATCTAAGGCTGCAGCTGCTAGTGCTGGACGGTGGCCAAACTTCCAGAGAAACCCATTCCAAACTTCAGCGGGAAGCGATGGGAATGGGATAATCACTGGACATTATTTCTACCAATCTGCACCATCAGGACCTAACAGATCTGCAAAAGTCTAGCTTCTCGTTGTCGTCCCACGGGCGAAGCGAGGCGGTCGATATCAAAGTTCCAGGTTTCTGCTGCAAAACAGATGCGCAAACCATTTATTAAAAAGATCAGTCGGATCGCCCGGCTAACGCCATGCTCTCCTCCTTCTTGTGTCAAACACCCTATGCTGAGACATGTTGAACTGAAGAATTTTTTCCCTTTTTCAAAGTTTATAGTTTTTAAGTTTTTATTCTGCTGTTTAGCTGAGTGAGAGTATGAAACTGTAACATAGCTCGAAATCCCTCTTTAACGAAACAGAGATCAAAAGCTTCCTTCATTCTTTGGTAAAGTTGTAATAAGTCTAATCACCACTCCTTTTTTGAAACAAACGACGTATCCTGTACACGAAATTTGAGACAGGGCTAACAGGGAGTGCAAATGGTATTCAGTTCAAGTCGGCCTTCGATTGGAAGTGTCGAACTTCCACTCTCTTAGAAACAAATGCTCATCAAAAATTCAACTGTTAGACAATCAAAGATATGCTGTGGAGATGTTCTGAGTGAAGCACCGTTATAAGGTGTTCTTTAAATATGGACCTTTTTTTACGAAGATATCATTAGTTGAGAATTTCAGATTATTGGTGGTCGATTAAGTTTTGTCGCAAATGACATCGACCAAAGAGGACCCTTCATTGAAACACAAACCTTGCTGGGTAGCGGTCGAATAGTAAGATATGAACAAAGTTCCAATCTGCTTTTCGTATTGCCCTAATGGGTCCCTATCACTCCCTACCACTCACTTTTGTCACCCTGCTCTACCATCTCGTCTTATACATACTGAACGGTCAAAGCTACATCGTAAATACCGAAGATGTTAGGAATTTGATCGGTAGGTAGCCTCTCTTCGATCCCTTATCTTCTCTTATCAGTTATGATCAGTTCTTGTCACCGAGTACGTACGATCCCGTCATGCCCTGCATCATTTTTGAATAAAATGCTAAGGTTCCACTGTTAGTACGAAAAGTCTAATCC